CTCCTCATCTGGGGAGGGGGGTGCAGTGGGGTCCCCTACTCCATCTCTAGGGTCTTTCTCAGTGCTGTACACTGTAGCTCAAGAATTAAATTTAACCTCCCAACAGGTTTTGGTCTAGCCCCACAGGGATTTAAATATTGTTTTAATTCCTTGCTGGCACTTGAAAACCAAGAGCTAGTACATAAATATCTGGGTGTTTGGCTTCTTTTAAAAAATGGGAAGATGGAGCAGAGTTGGCCCCTGTGAAGCCCTGTAGCTGGACTGGCCTGCTCCTGTTCATCACAGGCCCCATGACTCCCCGCTGCCAGCCCGAAAGCAAGTCACTTCATTCCTTTACGTGACTTCCCTGGCCCCTAGGCTTTTTATGTTTGCAGCCCTTGTTCTCTCTCATCCACATACCATATGGAATGACCTTGTGGGTCAGTTTCCTGTCTCCAAGGCAGAGGCTGTGTCTCATTCACCCCTGGCTCACAGTAGATGCTCCAGAGATGTTTGCTGAACTACATGAGGATGACGAGAACAGAGAGAGCGCAAACATGGGGGAAGCTGGTGATGAAGCAGCCTCCGCTTTGGCCCAGCTTCAGCAGTGCGTGCCAGGCTGCAACATAAACACCAGCTCCCTGGCTGCCTTCCTACAGATGAGCTTGCTTCCTCTAATGCCTCACCCCGCTCTGAGGGGAGACAGTGGATAGAGAGCGGCATGGACTCCTGTGAGGAGTTGCACCTTCCTCTCTGTGACCCAGAAAGTTCAAAGCAAGAATTTAGAGATCTCAAGGCTGAAAGTGGTGTGATAAACAGTAGCAGCCCCAGTGAAGGGTGCCTGAAGAGGTCAGAGAGAGGAGGGGCACTGAGCAGAGAGGATGTCCAGGCTCTGTGGGAGGCGATTGTTGTACGGGCGTGGACAGGGAGAGCAGGGCTCTGTGCCTGTGTGTGGTGTAGACAAGTCCTGTCAGGAGGGACAGGCCTGTGTACAGGGGAAGTGTTTGGGGCAGTGCCCTGAATGGCCAGAAGAGTCAGGTGTCCAGGATCTAACCCTGGCTGCATGCTGGGTGGACATGCGACCTTGAGCAGGTTAATTGACTCTCTCTGGGCTGGTGTCCTCTTCTGTAAAATGAGAATAATAATGATATTCCCCTTACAGGGATGTTGCACAGATTAAATGAGACGATGTATACTAAGTGTCCGGCACACATCTGCTTAATGCCTAACACTAGCTGTGTTGTTAGCAGTTTCCTACCGCTGCCAGAACAAATTGCCACAAGCTGGTGAGGCTTAAGACAACAGAAAGTTATTCTCTCCCAGTTCTGGAGACTGGATGTCCAAAATCAAGGTGTCTAGAGAGCTACAGTGCTGTGGGCCTCTTCCAGCTTTGCGGGTGCCAGGCATTCTCTGACTTGGAGCTGCATCACTCCGGTCTCTGCCTCCATCTTCACATGGCCTGCTCCTACTTCTGTCTCTTAGAAGGACACTTGTCATTGATTTAGGAACTGCCTGGTAATTCAGGGTGACCTTATCTCAAGACACCTAATTACATCAGCATAGTTCCTTTTTCCAAATAAGGTCATGTTCATAGGTTCCAGAATGTGGACATATCTTTTGGGGAGGCCACCATTCAAACTGTGACAATACCTAAGTACCCAAGGCTTTCCATAAGCCAGCACTTTATATGATCATTTGATGAAGCTAAATCTTGGCGGATAGTGTTCTAGGTTCCTTGGGGCTTGATCATGTTTGCCTAACTGATAAGAGAGTGCCACAACCATGTGAACTCCATAATTAGTGACCAAAAGATGTGGGTGGTTTCTGGATTCTCTGGCTTCCCTCCTTGGCTCTCTTCCTGCCACCAACTTAATCTGTTCTCTGCAAAATGCCTGTGGTGGATACTGATGAACTGTCCACATCCCCCTTTAAGGAAGGACTTGTTGTCCCAGCTGCTGAGAGTGTTGTCATCAGCCTTCAGCTAGTGGCCTGTCTGGATCCTCCTCAGTACAGAGAGCTGCCTTGTTGGAGGGCACTTCTGTACCAAGGTGGGCCAGGTCCAGTGACTGACAGAGGCAGCAGTACAAAGACCCAGTCATTTCAGCTGAATATGAAATAAGTCGTATGGGCCATTTTAACTCTTGAGTTCCCTGTGGGGTTGGAAAAGACTCCACAGGACTTAACATGGCAAAGTCACTTCTCACATGGCCCACTCTGCTTCCTCTCCTTCCCTTCCATCAGTGCTGATGCCAAGGGCACTCCTTGAGAAACCCCCTGACACTAAACTCCAAATCAGGGTCTACTTCCCAGCACGCCTACCTGTGCCAGTGTCTGTGGATCATATGTTCTTGGGACCACACCAATATATGCAAAATAGAAAACTTACTCCATGTTTATGTACAATGATTCTGCTTCCCATGGGTGGCGATAAACCAGGTCATCTTGAAGTTTTAAATCATATTTAAAGTATCTTGATGATCTCTTCAGGGCTTTGAGGTTTTTTACTTGTCTATGACTTAGAACATATAACAGGAACCTAAGGCAATTCTAAAACTTTGAAATACTCCTTTGACACCTGGACAAAAGCATACCAGTTTGATAGTAGCTGAAAACTTGCCTGGTTGAAAATAGTGTTTTGAGATTTCCACTGAATTCATGTTTGTTTTTGAATTTTTAATTAAGTAATTTGATGAAACCCATTAGCTCTTTAACACTGTCTGATAAGCATGAAGCCAAAAAGAACTTAAGATAAGGGAGGCAGGCTGCTACACTGAGAGAGAGAATAGGCTTTGGGAATAAAGTAGATTGGGTTTGAATCTTGTCTCTGGTACTTGCTGTCACTGAGCTCTGCACCTCAGTTTCCCCACCTATTAAATGGAGATAATAAACAACATATCTACCCCATAGAGTCTTTGGGAAGGTTAAATGATACTACCTTTATAAAACATTTATAATAGTAAACACAATAAATGTTCATTATTGTTAGCTAGTACCCCTGGCAAAACATATAAATACACAACAAATAGTATACATAAATTTTAGATCATTTGAGTCACCGCTTACAGAAAACTCATGGAATTTGTACTAACTTTTAAAAAAGTATCTGAGATACTTTTTCCTTATTACAGAGAATGCCATTAAATTTTCAATATCAAAAGTGACATCTCATTAAAGATGTCACTAGGTAGTGAGTCATGTGGCTATTTGCAGAAAAGCATTTCAAGCAAAGGAAACAGCAAATGCAAAGTTCTGACAGGACAGCAGGGCTGTGTTTGAGGATGAGCAGAGAGGTCATCCTCAAACATGAGGCACGGAGTTAGCAGGGTGAAGGTCAGAGAAATTGGTGAGTGGGTGCTGGGGTGAGGAAGGGAGCAGGTCTCGTAGGATCTGCTAAGTCATTTTGAAGACTTTGGATTTTGCTAAATGATTTGGAAAGTTATGAGGTCTTGCACCAAAGAGTGACATAGCCCAATTTCTGTATTGAAAGGACAACTCTGATGATTGTGTTAAGAATAGAATTGGGACAAGCAAGGCAAAAAGAGGCCATGCTCAGGAGGCCACTGCAGTACCCTAGGCTAACAGTGACAGCTGCTTGGATCTGGTCTCACTGTGGACGCAGAACATGCTCAATATCTGCTGGTTTTTGAATCCAGAAGTGATAAGAATTAGTAATGCCTTGAGAGGAAAAGACAAGCTGAAAATGTCTCTGTTTTCTCTCCTGAGCCACTGGAGGAAAATAATTCTTCTTTTTTTTTTTTTTTTTTTTGAGACAGAGCCTCAACTGTCCCCCTGGGTAGAGTGCTGTGGCATCACAGCTCACAGCAACCTCCAACTCCTGGGC